CCACACACACACACACACACACACACACACACACACACACACACACACACACACACACACACACACACAGGCCAGGTAAGCTGTAACTCTCAGCAGCTGCAGGGAAGAGGAGGGAGAAAGAAGGCCACACCTTTGAGTTAGGGTCGTCAATGGAGTTGTGTAAACAGCTGAGTGGCTGCAATGGGGGAGGGGCTAGAGAGACAGTGAGGAAGCTCAGCATGCTGAGGGTTTTGGTCAGTTTCCAAAGGCAAAGCAGAGGAGCTGGGCAGATGCCTCTGGGTAGAGTGTGCTGCCACACACAGGTGCAACACCTAGTTTTGGATGCTCTGCACCTTGTGCCTAGTGGGGGTGGAAACCGAACCCCTGGGGCTTGCTGGTTGGATACTTTAACCACATCTGTGCCACCTAGGTTCAGTGAGAGCAGTGGAGGATGTGGCCTTCAGGAACGCACGCGCACGCGCACACGCACACGCACACGCACACACACGCAGTTTAAAGATGAAAAATGAAGCGATGAAAAGGGGGAATCATGCTTTTGAGTTAGAATCTGGGAAAACAGGCTACCTTAGCAGTTGATGTCTGTAAGTAACTGTCTTGTATGTGGGGGTGGGGCAGACAGCCCTAAGTACCCTATTTAGGGGATGACTTTTCCTTTCAGTTTCTTAGCACATCTTTGGGTGACTGTCAGGCCCAACTGAATGAACTCTTTAAAAAGAATGTGTGGTGGTCAGAGGACAACTCTGGAATTGGTTCTCTCCACCTTTAAGTGCATTCCTGGGATCCATGACAGGTTGTCAGGCCTGAGCTACCTACCCTTGAGGGAGGGGACAGTGGTGTATAATGTCTTTGGAGCACGTTAGGAAGTTCTGTCTTCACCCTGGGCCAGGGGTGGGACTTAGTTTCCTTTCTTTTGACCGTGAGGCATTTCCTTCTAGGAGACTGGCCTCAAGGAGCTCCTCCCTGGCTTGCTTTTCCCCAGTTGGTCCCCATGTGTTACCTAATCAACCTGTGGTAGCTGGGAGTCCCTGCCTCTGGCCATGTGGCTTACCAAAGCCATGGTGACTTCCTTCATACAAATCACCCTGAGATGTGGGTCCAAAGGCTTCTCTGTGTCTTGGTCACTTTGGCTGTGGGCCTCATGTAACTTCCTGGAGGAGGAGAGGCTTCTTAATAAGGAAGAGCTTGACTGGTTTCTTCCTTCCTGGTATCCCAGCCCAGGAAACTGTCAGTGCAGCCATGGCCTTGACACAGGTAGCAGGCAGGGACAGATTCCAGTTGAGACCTTCAGGACAAGGCTACCTCCCTTGACCTGATACTATCCCAGGAGGTTGTAGATGGACCTCTATTGCCTGGATGATGACCTGACCTAGTTAGAGCCTAGGGATGAGGATGTAATATATCCAGGGGCCAACAAGTCTGGGTGAAGAATCCTTATAGCTGGCCTGCCTTTACAAGATGCAAGAAGAGAGACCTGTCCCCTGTCTCAGAGGTGACAAGCCTACTTAAGAAGCCCTGGGTCAATGTGTACTTCTGTTGTGGGCCAGTCCTTAAGGCTGTCACTTCTCAGTGCATGTGACTCATAGGGAGACCACCACCCCCACAGGATGTGAAGACAGCCCAGCCTGCCACATACCTAGTGGTTGTGTATTGGTCACTTTGATCAGTATCCTGAAAAAGGGACTCTGCAGTTAATGCTGTTGTGAAGGGCCAGGCCAGCTTCCCAGCCTCCTGTCTTCACTCTGCCCTGGCAGGTAAGAGGAGAAGCTAAGTGTCTGCCTCCATCAACTGCACCACCTCTTAAAAAATAAATGGCAAGCATTTAAAAATCTATTTTTGTTTTGTGATTATTGTTTTTTTTGTTTTGTTTTGTTCTGTGTGAAATGTGTCAGAAGCCCTGGAACTGGAGGTACAGACAGGTGTGAGCTGCCATGTGGGTGCCTGGAATTGAACCCAGGTCCTCTGGAAGAGCAGCTAGTGCTCTTAACCATTGAGCTATCTCTCCAGCCCTGTAAAAATTTTTAAAAATTTATTATTGTGTATCCGTGCACAAGTGTGGGCATTTGTGTTCCACGGTGTGTGTGTGGGTCAGGGGACAACTTTTGGGAAGTGGTTCTCTTTGCACTGTGGGTTCTGCGGACGGATTCAGGTTACTGGTCTTGTACATGCACCCACAGAGCATCTGACTGGCCCTGTTTCTGACCCTCCTGCCTCCGCCTCCTAAATGCTGGAATTACAGGTATATATTAGAGACATCTGGCTTTTTCAATTTTTAATTTTAGATAGCCTGTAAGTCCCATCTTCCTGCCCCATCTCCTGTTTACAACGTGTACCACACACCACCCCACCTCTCCTTTGACCCTCTCTCTCCATCTGTTAAAAAAACAAAACAAAAATAAACAACCTTTCAGCACTGTCGCTGGACGCCTGTGGCTTAGGCTCAGGGGTTCTTTAGTTCCTCAAGGTTTGTAAAATCAGTGTGGCCCTGGGACGGGGAAGATGCTGGTTAATTATGCCTTTATTCTCAAACAGCCAAGTGCCCACCCCTCAGCCTCCACCCCCAAGATTCTGGATACTGGGCATCTCTGTGTGCCATCTTTATATCTCTCAGGAGATGGCCATCGCTGTCTTTTTTTGTAGTTGCTGATGTTTTGAGATAGGTCCCGCTGTGTATGTGGTCCAGGATGGTCTGGGATTTTAAGAGGGTCTCCTGCCCCTGCCTCAGGCTCAGCCTCCTGAGTGCTGGGACTATAGACATGAGCTACTGGTCCATCTTCTTCAGCTTCCTTTTATTTTGTTTTTTAGTTTTTCCGTGACAGGGTTTCTCTGTGTAGCTTTGGAGCCTGTCCTGGAACTAGCTCTTGTAGACCAGGCTGGTCTCGAACTCACAGAGATGCACCTGCTTCTGCCTCCAGAGTGCTGGTATTAAAGGTGTGCATCACCAACGCCCGGCCTTCTTCATCATCCTTTTGAAGAGTGTGTGTGTGTGTGTGTGTGTGTGTGTGTGTGTGTGTCCCTGTGTGTGTCTGCGAGCATACACTTATCTATATGTGAACCATGTACTTGGGTGCCTATGGAGACTGGAAGAGGGTTTTGGATCCCCTGGAATAGGAGTTAAAGGTGTTTGTGCTGGGAACCCAGGCAGGGTCCTTTGCAAAAGTAGTAAATGCTCTTAACCTCTAAGCCATCCCTCTAGCCCCCAGTTTTCATTTTTTAAAAATTATTATTATTATTATTATTATTATTTTTTTTTTTTTTTTTTTTTTTTTTTTTTTTTTGGTTTTTTGAGACAGGGTTTCTCTGTGTAGCTTTGGAGCCTATCCTGGCACTCGCTCTGGAGACTCGAACTCACAGAGATCCGCCTGCCTCTGCCTCCTGAGTGCTGTATTTTTCTTTTTTATGTACATACATTGGTGTTTTGCCTGCATGTATGTCTGTGTGAGGATGTCAGATCCCCGGGAACAGGAGATACAGACATTTGTGAACTGCCATGTGGTTGCTGGGAATTGAACCCAGGTCCTCTGGAAGAGCAGCCAGTGCTCTTAACCACCAAGCCATCTCTCCAGCCCCCACAGTTTTCATTTTTATAGATGAGAAAACGAGGTTCAGAGAGGTTAAGTCACACAGCGCATGTGAGACGGATGTGCCCCATACCCTGGCTAATAATCTCTGTCCCAGCAGAGGTTGAGACCTGCCTTACTGCCCTGAGCTGAATCCAACAGTCTTCCACACGGGCACAGCCAACGGGAGGCAGCCGTTGTCCTTGGTGTCCAAGCCTCAACAGCCTGTCCTCGGGCTGGCCCTGGCACTGGGTGCCCTCCGTCCTTGGCAGGCTGCCTAGACTGCAGCTGTGCGGATTCCTCACCCTCAACTGCTCTTGACTGTGGGCCAGGCTCCCCCCACCCCACCCCGTCCACCCCTGCACCCCCGCTTTAATCTCCATGCCCCCCTTGCACCTCAAGCATCTGACAGTTCCCGGCTTCCACACGCAGCTGTGGCAGGCTCCAGGAAGGACCTGAGCCATACAGAGGCCAGGGGCAAAGCTGGAGAAAGGGGATGAGAGGCCTCAAGGGACAGGCTGTTCCAGCCAGCAACCTAGTCACGGGAGTTTCCACAGTCGTCAAAGGAGGAAAACACGCGAAACCTTGGGCCCGGGTTAGACCCACCCCAGCCCCGCACCACGCTCGCCGTTGACCCTGAGCAGCTGCTGTATGGGTATTTCTAGCCCGAGCGCGAGCGGGCGAAGACAGACGCGAGCTTTACTTCGGAAGCGGTAGTTCCAGTTGCAGGTGGGTGAGCCCGGGAAAAGCAGCGTCCCCTCCCCCACTCCACTGCCCCCACAGGACGCTGAGGACAGCTCTCTCGTGGCAGCCAGCCCGTCTGCGAGCCGCCCCGGCCCCCAGTGTGCAGGCCACAGTGGGTTTCTGTCACACTCCTCCCGAGTTTTCAGACGGGAGGCTGCGCACACCAGGGGCTCTCCACTTCCTCTCAGCTCGCCCTCTTACCCGTAGTCTTTAACTCCTCTCCCAGTCTGCCATTGTGGCTCACAACTCTAAGTCTAACGCTTGGGAGGCTGAGGCAGTTCAGTCTGGGTTGCAGAGTCAGACCTTGCCTCATTCGCTCACGCCTGTCCTCAAAAACAAAACAAAACAAGAAAGCCGGGCGGTGGTGGCGCACGCCTTTAGTCCCAGCACTCTGGAAAGCAGAGGCAGTGGATCTCTGTGAGTTCGAGGCTAGTCTGGTCTACAGAACGAGTTCCAGGACAGCCGGGACTACACAGAGAAACCCTGTCTAGAAAAACGAAAAACCGGGGGGGAAAAAAAAATTCAAGAAAGCAAAGCCAAACGCCAGTCCTTTGATGGGAGAGCAGCGCAGCAGCTGACCTCTAGTGGTCAAGGTTGGTAGTGCAGCGGTGCTAGTCTGGTCGTCCCCAGAGACTAGCACCTGCGATCTCTGGCACACAACACCCCAAATCCTCCGGTTATCTCCCACTCCCGACCTCCGTGTTCACTCTTGATTGAGCCTGGCAACCTTGATGTCTACGGATGTCTGTTTTCTTCGTGGACTAGGAACTCTAAGGCAGGGGATGGAGTTTTGTCTTGTGCACACTCTGCCCATGTTCGACCACGCTGGCATCCAGTTAATACTCTTGTAGCCTTGTAGCTATGGGCCAAATATTTAGTATGCACCTTCCAGACCAAAGAGGGGAGCAGGATGATCCGCCCTCCCGAGCTCCCAGACCGGAGCCGGGCGGCACGCTCAAGCACTCAGCGCTGAGTTGTGCCAGGGCTTCGAGACCACCAAGGAGGTGAGTGGGCATGCGGATCAGGAAAGGATGGGGCAGAGATGCAGAGAAAGGCATTTCGGGATCAGTCTGTGCCCTGGCCTGTGCCAAACGCAGTCCCGCCGCAGCCAGGGGGAGACCCCGCCCTTCAGGGCACCCGTCCAGCAGGCAGTGCAGCGCTTTACCTAGGGCTTCTCTAGACTGCGGTACTTCTTGCGTTGCACGGACACCGGGTCCTTGAACAGCACCGGCTCCAGCCGCACTCGAGAGGACACCAGAGGCATGTGGCCGAACCCTGCTGCCACACGGCTGAAGCAGTCCTGAGCCAGAGGCTGAGGCTCTGGCACGGGTCCAGGTCCCTCAGCGGCCTAAGAGGTGGAAGGGAAACATATCCATGAAGCTTGTTTTTCTGAACCTCACCCCTGCCGCAGCAAGAGAGATTTGGAGTAGACGGTAAAAGAGATGTGCCCTCTTCCCCTCCCCCCACCCCCCAACCCGTGCTTTCCTAGTGGGGCCCAGTCCCCGGAGTCGCTCACCAGTGGAACAGCCTCCTGGTGCTGCCTGCCATAAGGCACCTTGATAGGGGGCAGCTTGGTGACAGTTGCTACCAGGAAGTTCATCAGGATATCCACGCAGGTGGGAGTGTCATCTGCCATGGTCCTCAGGGCCTTCGGTAGGGAGTGGGTAAAGAGGGTGTGGTAATACCTGGAAGGTATAAGGTAAGCCTTAGGCAGCTGGACTGACAAGGAAAGGCTGCAGACAGGATCCATTCTTCCTTTGACTCAGACCTCAAGCCATTTTCTAAGACCTGTACCCCACCCCCTAACTCCTCTCACAGGGAGCTCCTGCCCGGGGCATGACCGGTTCTCCAAGTGCCCTGTGGCTTTGATTGCCATGGGTAACGATGTGTTATTCTCTATCCCTCCTTGGGGCCCACTTTCTGGGCTCCCAAGTCTGAACTCTGACAGATGGTTCCAAAGCCGTCAAACATGGCTACCCAAAGACGAGCTTCAGGGAGCCTGTGTCCATGCTGGGCCGCCCTGCACACATGAGATTATCCTTCTCCACCCTGAGCACACCCCCCTCAGAAAATCTATAAAAAATCCCATGATACGTGGGTGAGGTTTAAACAGATTAAAGAATCACTTTCCAGAGGCCCCGGAAGCCAGGCTTGGGGGTGGGAAGACAGCACCTGTAACATCAACACTCAGGAAAGCGGAAAGCTTGGGCTGCACAGACAGGTCCTGTCTCCCAATCATCCCTGGCTGACCTCAAAGTCACTACCCAGTGAGTGTGATCTTTAACTGGTCTCCCTGCTTCCACTGAACCAGGGCTGGGGTTACAGGTGTGTGCCATCATGCCCACTTCTATTCAGTGTTGGGGATGGAACCCAGGGCTTCACACATGCTAGACAAGCGCTCCTACCAGCTTCCCAGCCCAGCTCAAAAACAAATAAGGAGACACCCCCCACCCCCCAATCACATCACTAGGAACAGGCTTACCTAGGCCTTGAACCCTGGCCCTAGACAGCAGGAATCCACCCACCCACTCCTAGGTTGGGGCTGGAGCCTGTGGCCCTTTCTCCCTGTGCTGGGGCCAATGTTTGCACCTGTGGTAGAAGACGGCTGTAGTGAGGACCATGGAGAATTCATTGGCCATCTCAGTGCTGTAGCCCCAGGCACCCCGGGCCTCATCCCAGAAGTGGTTCTGTGTCAGAAAGCCCACCATCCTCTCGGGAAAGCTCTGCCACACCACAAAAGCAAAGTCCACCTGTAGAAGGATTTAAAGGCGCTATGAGGAGGAACCTTCAGACCAACATCCTTATAGCCTATGGTGGGGAGGCCAGTCTGCCTGAGGAGTTGGGGCAAGGCTTAGGGGACAGGGGATGGGAGCCATGGCTTGGAGTTTTACAGAAGTTTAACGTGAATGTTTCTGGGGAACTCATGGAAACTTGCCCAGGAGCAAAGGGCTGGATCTCAGGGCTTGGGAGCCTGAGGAAACTCCAGTTCCTTTGTGCTCTGTACCCTCTACACTGGAGATCTTGTGGGCCCAGCTCTCACCTCACTGGTAGAAAGAGTGCTGTGGGCATCAAGGCTGAGGATGACATTGGTGCTGATGTCACCGTATGGGAAGAATCGGTCACTGGCCTGTGGTGGGGCAGAGCAAGTTGAGGGTGACTCGGCCATGAGAAGCATCCATCAACCCCAACCCAGTAAGAACGAGCCCTTCAGATAGAGTGTAGAAGAGGAAGCCAGGAATACAGAAGCCTGCCCACAAGCCTAGATTGCAGTTTCCCCTTTGTCTTTAAGGGCCCTTTGGTTTAGCATCTAGGGTTCCCTCTGTTGCCACATCAGACACTCTTACCAATCCTGGATCAATTATTTGAAAGGACCAGACTTGGAGTGATAAAAGTGTCTTGCCTAGTGTTGTGCGGGTTCCAGCTCCCACCCTTTCCAGCCTATGGTGCTGCTCTCTGGAGTATTTCTCCACGAGCCCACGAGACATCCACGCAGTCTCTTGCCTCCCACATTACAGGCACCTCAGTGTTATAGAAGTGATTTTCTCAGGGCTGGAAATGGAAACCAGAACCCTGCATGTCGCAGGCAAATGTGTAACACTGAAACGCGCTTTAGTGTAAGAGCATCGTTCCAACTAGACGTCCAGCTAGAACCCATGGCCTGATTCCTGCAGACCCATATAGAAGTCCAGCTTGGTTCAAAACATCCTGTTAGCCCTCCCTGGTTCCCAGCGTGAGTCCTCCCCTTCACCTTCCTGCGCCCCTCAATGACTGTCAAGGGCACCGTTGTCTCCGGCCACCTGTCAGGAGGTGGCTTCTCACTGCTCCAGAGGATCAGGATCTAGGAAGAAAGGGGATGTATCAGCCGGGCGTTGGTGGTGCACACCGTTAGTCCCAGCACTCAGGAGGCAGGCAGAGGCAGGCAGATCTCTGTGAGTTCGAGGCCAGCCTGGTCTACAGAGCAAGTGCCAGGACAGCTTCCAAAGCTACACAGAGAAACCCTGTCTTGGAAAAAAAAAAAAAAGAAAAGAAAGAAAGAAAGAAAGAAAGAAAGAAAGAAAGAAAGAAAAGAAAGGGGATGTATCTGAAATATGGGATCCGGATTGGAGGGGGAGTCCCGGGATGGTCTTTCTTAGGATGGATGGAGCAGAGAGCAGCTATTTATGCACACACGAGAGGGGGCATGTCCCTTCATTGCCATCTTTAGTCTTGCCTCTGGTCTTCTGGAAGGCAAGAATCCTGGTTGAGACAGGGGTGGTGGTGAATGTCTGTAATTCCAGCATTTAGGAGGCTGAGGGAAGCAGAATTTTGAGTCTAGCCTGGGTTAACTAGTGCTAAGTAGTAAAACTGTTGCCTGGCAGTGGTGGCACTCTCCTTTAATCCCAGCACTCAGGAGGCAAAGACAGGCCGATCGCTGTGAGTTTGAAGCCAGCCTGGTCTACAGAGAGAGTTCCAGGATAGGCTCCAAAGCTACACAGAGAAACTCTGTCTCGAAAAACAAAATAAAACAAAAACCTGTCAAAAAAATTAGTGTGACCACCCTAGACAGGGTCTCTTTATGTGTAGCCCTGGCTGTCTTAGAACTCACTGTGTAGACCTGGCTGGCCTTGAATTCAGCCTGCCTGTGCCTCCCAAGTGCTGTGATTAAAGCTGTGTGTCTCAGGAACTGGAGAGATGGCTCAGGGGTTAAGAGCACTGGCTGTTCTTCCAGAGGTCCTGAGTTCAATTCCTGGCAACCACATGGTGGCTCACAACCATCCATTATGAGATCTGGTGCCCTCTGCTGGCAGGCAGAAGACTGTATACATAATAAAATCTTAAAAAAAAAAAAAAAAAAGCTGTGTGTCTCTTTTCACGCCATCCCCATCTTCCCTCTGAGGCTTGTGGTCTCCTCGTCACTGCCTGCTCAGTCCCCAAGCCCCATCTGCATAGGTTCTCTCTGCACCCTGGCCTAGCCACCCGCTCCCTCTCAGAATCAACCTGCATTCTTTGGTGGTTTTTTTTGTTGTTGTTGTTAGATTGGTTTATTATTTTATGTGCATGAAGGTTCTGCCTGCATGTCTGTGTGCCAAGTGCCTGCCTGCCTGGTGCCTAAAGAGGTCAGAAGGGACACTAGATCCCCTGGAATTTAAGTCACCAATGGTTGTGAGCCATCATGTGGGTACTGGGAGCTGAACCCGGGCTCTCTAAAAGAACAAGTGCTTTTAACCAGTGAGCCATTTCTCCATCCCTGCTTGTTTTCTGTTTGTTTGTTTGTTTGTTTTATGGCTTTTGAGACAGGATCTTGTTACAGTCTTAGCTGGCTTTATACTCACTGTGTAGCCTGGGCTAGCCTAGCCTAACCTCCAACTCTCAGCATCCCTCCAACTCAAGTGCTGGGATCACAGGCATGAGCCACCACACCTGGCAACCTGTGTTCTTTGATTCTCAGTGTCCATGCACCAGTCTGATCTCAAGGTGAGAGAATGAATGAATGAACGAACGAACGAATGAATGAATGCTTCCTTCCAGCCTTGCCAAGAAGCACCAGGTCTTCCAGGGCTTTACCAATTCTGATGGAGTTCAAGGAAAGAACAAGAAACCTGGACTTAAAGTCAGCAAGAATCTTTGGAAATCTCCCCCATGCCTCCCCCATCAGATATGTGGTCATCTGGGGCCTTGCTCTGTTCCTTTCGACCACCCTGGGCCCCAGAGCTCCAGCTGGGGGGGGGGGCAAACCTGGGCACAGTACCGGGAACCTGCCACCACCTGGATAAGCTTCAGCAGAGGCTCGCTAGAGACCCCCACCCAGATCAGGGCGCTGAAACTGCTCTCGGGGCTGGAGCCTGGGGGAAGAAGACACAGGCAATTAGTTAGGGAGAAAGTGGATCCCCCTGGAGAGTGACCTGAGTCTGGGAACCCCAAAGAACCAGGCCAGATGTTAGAGTTTGAGGGTATCTACAGATGAAGCTGGAGCAAATCTGGGGAGAGCTAAGGTCACCTCGAGTCGTCCCACCCCCAGGACATACCCTGTTGCAGGTGATAAAAGGGGAAATCCTTCAGGCTCGTGGAAAAAGTAGGGAGAGCCAGGAGTGCTCCCGGGGGGCTGTTCCACATCAGTGAGGGGTGAGCCGATGTACCCCAGATCCGGTCCTGAATAATCTGTGGAAAGAGGCGGTTGTGCAGAGGGGGTGGCTAACTTGTGGGGTTCAGGCAGCAGGTTGTGGGTGGGGCCTGAGGAGGGGCAGAGCCTGGAAGAGGCGGGGCCTGAGCAGCGGTGGGATGGGAGGAGCTAACTCTACCAAGGGCCCTAAGGCTCACACCTTTCCCTCCTGTGCAGGAGAGCAGCCTAGTTCTGCAGCAGGAACGTAGAGGTGACAGCTGATGACATGGTTTTCCCTCCTTTCCTCGCTCCCACAAACACAAGTGTGGGGTCATACCATTCTTTCAGGACTCAAAATTCTGAATGAGCCTGACTCTTTCCCAAAACCACTCCAGACTGCTTCTGCCATCGGTTAGAGTGAGCCGGTGCTTGGCCGCAGCGGCCGCAGCGGTGTCCGCAGACAAGGGCAAGCTCAAGCCCGGGTGTAGACGTGTGCTCAGGATCACACAGCCACAGCACCGGAAGAGAAGGATGGAGGGGGGCGGCCTGCAGGGGAGTCCGGGGCCCCTGCGGATGAGCCCCGCTCACCTCCAGTGTGGTGTGGATGACTTTTTCCACTGAGGAGAAGTAAGCTGTCCACAGAAACTGGGTCTGCTGGCGCAGGGAAAGAATCTTCGAAGGGAGCATGTCACGGAGGGCAGTCAGGACCTGGAGGACAGAGGGAGAAAAAGAGGAGGCCTGGGGCTGGGCCCTGACTGACCCCGGGAAGGAGAAAGCCCGTGTCACAGCTCTGGGAACTGGGAGCTTCCAGACACGTGTACCCTGTGTTCAGGGTCACACGGAGCTGGTTTTAACTTAATGTTAGGTGAGGTGGCTCATGGCTGCAAGCCCTGGCACCCAGGGGGTGGAGGCAGGAGGGTCCTGAGTTCAAGGCCAGCTTGGACTAAGAGACCTTGTCTTTAAAAAAAAAAAAAAGTAGGAGTGGCTGGGGAGGGGACACAGACAGAGACTCAGCTGACAAAGTGCCTGCAGAGCATGGGCAAAGCCTGGCTTTGATCCCCAGCACACGTAAGCTGTCACCATGGACACATGCCTGCAATCCCAGAACTCAGGAGCTGGAGGCAGGAGGATAAGAAGTTCAAGATCGGGGGTGGGGGAGGGTGGATGGAGAGATGGCTCAGAGGTTAAGAGCACTGACTGCTCTTTCAGAGGTCCTGAGTTCAAATCCCAGCAACCACATGATGGCTCACATCCATCTGTAATGAGATCTGGTGCCCTCTTCTGGCCTCCAGGGACACATGCAGACAGAACACTGTATATATACTAAATAAATCTTTAAAAAAGTTCAAGATAATAATTCTAGTCTGCATAGACAGTTTGAGGCCAGCATGGGCTCTATCCTCCAAAATACCCAACTGGTCCAAAATACCCAACTGGAGAGGCAGAGACACAAACTACCACAATACCTCTAGTCTCACTTTCCCCATCTGTGGAATGGGTGCATTAAACACCTCTCTCATATGTGGTTGTTAAGATTCAAAGAGAAAATGACTGTTTAGTGCTTAGGTAATGTAGAGACTCAATGAATAAATGCTACTGCTCTGTGTGTGTGTGTGTGTGTGTGTGTGTGTGTGCGCGCGCGCATGTGCATGCGTGTGCGCCCAGGCGTTTTCATGTGTTTGTTTCCTTTTGACACTATCCCAGGCTAGCCTCCTGAAATCTCTGCCTCACACTCCCTGGTGTTGGCATCAGAGGTGTGGCCACTGTGCCCAGTTAAAGGATGGCCACTGCTCCCTTTCACCGTACCCAGTTAAAGGATGGCCACACCTCCACCTAACTCGCCAGATTCCTCAAGGCAGCGCCCATATACTCTTCAGACCCATACAAAATCAGTTTCATCAGATGGAAAAGACACAGGGTTTTACTCATTTCCTTTCAGGTGATTCTCAGAAAGCACCTGATCTAACTTAACCCCATTGTAGAGATGGGAAAACTGAGGCTGAAAGTGGCTCAGAACTTGCTCTCAGCACCCTCCCAAGTCTCTACCTTCATCTATGTCTATGGGAGCCCCAGAGGGAGGCAATGGGAATAGGAATGCCTACTAGAAGGGGGCCAAGTACCTGGGGTCCCTCCCCTGAAGTGCCCCCCACCATGGTGTAGACCCTGAGCTACCTGTAATGGGAGCCTCTCATCAGCAATGATGGCTGCCTTGGTCCAGTCGATGACTTCAGAGAAAGGCAGCTCCCAGCGCGGGCTGAGGAGCACCGGGATACAGCCGGCCTGGGGGGCAGGGCAGTCACTGGGGAGCCCAGCCCCTCCCTACACACACTCACCACCACCCCAGTCCAAGGTAGCAGCCCCGGGGGAGGATAAAGAGGAGAGTACTGGGGGGCAGGGGAACCCCTTCCTATGTGCATGTGCCCAGCACTCCTGCTAGCTCAAGGGTGGAGGTGGAGAGGCTGGGGTGCTCAGGTCGGGGTGTACCTGAAGGGCTTGGAGGAGGCTGGAGGCGGCAGATCGGTGGCCAGGAATGAGGCAGAAGGTGGCATTGGGTAGTGTTTCTCCTGGGTGGGTCCTGAGAAGGTATAGGAAGGTCTCTGGACACAGGCGCCTGGGACAGCTGCCGCTCATTGTGCTTGTCACAGTGGCCTTGCAGTGACACTCACATAGCCACAAGATGTTGACTCCCTCCGTGTCCTCAGCCACACAGCCACACACTGACCGTAACCAGGAGCAGCGACATGGCCTCTCCTCTGCTCACTATTCTGTAGGGCTTCAGAAACCCTGGTGCCCTTGGTGTCCTCAGACATCTCCCTCCTCTTCCTTGTACCTCAGTTCCCTCACTTACAAAATGGGAGGTGCCTGGATCTTATTTAGGCCTTCCTTTCACTTCTGCTCTGGTCCAGCGTCCGCGTCACCTGAGTGACCTCCACACTCAGCCCTCCCCGTCACCTGAGTGACCTCCACACTCAGCCCTCCCCATCACCTGAGTGACCTCCACACTCAGCCCTCCCCATCACCTGAGTGACCTCCACACCCAGCCCTCCCCATCACCTGAGTGACCTCCACACCCAGCCCTCCCCGTCACCCCACCCACCTCCACACTAACCCTCCCCATCACCTCAGT